AACAAACCAAAAAATAAATTAAAGTGAATGCGATACGCTTCCGTAATATAGCACCTGTTTGACACAGAGATCCAAAGTTATACGACATATATCTTTACTAGTTCATGTAAAATAAACAAGAAATAAACACATAAACACACAATAACAACATATACACAAGTAAGAAACGGTGTAAAACGCGTTTTTGGTCATTTTCTTCTTTCACCGATAAAATTGTTTGTTGCCTCCTCCGCGGTCACGTGTGGACACTGACGTCACGCCCAGACCCCGTGACACGCTGCTGGGAACAGGTAGAGGGAAGTAAACCATCAAAGACCACGGCGGGCTGAGCTTTTATTACGCTTCAAAGACGAACATCTGTGAGTTACCGGTTAACGGGACCGGTGCAGGTGCTTTGTGTCCCGCTGCTGGTCGCTAATTTTTTGAAAAACGAACAAACAAAATGACGGCGGCGGTGTTTTTCGGCTGCACCTTCATCGCCTTCGGCCCGGCCATCGCTCTGTTCCTGTTTACCATCGCCCGGGAGCCGCTGAGGGTCATTTTCCTCATCGCAGGGTGAGAAAGGATCGATAATCCGTCGGTTGGTGGTCGTATCTCCGTCGTAGCACCGAGATAACGACGCTGCTGTCCGCTTTAATCGGATAAAACTCGAGCTAGCTCGCTGGCTAACGAGCTACTTCTGGTAGCTTCCATTGTCGGACAACTTGCTCTTGTGCTTTCACGTTTCTGTGTTTTATTCATGCGATCTCCGAAGGATTGTTCTGTACGCGTGTATATGCAAAGACACAGTAAGGGGGACTCTTCATATCCAGTTTTCAGAGTCCAGACGTCCTCCGAGCTCAGCTTTACAACTACAGACGGCGTTAGCTTAGCCACGGTTCCTGGTGCTTCTCCCTCTTTCGTTACTTTACCAGCTGGTTTTGTTCATGTTTATTTTAATTGGAGACAATAAAAAGTATAAAATAAAAAGGCCAAATGTGATGCACGGCAGTGGATTGTGTATTGAGTGTTAATAAAGGAACCGTAAAGGTCTGACACTGAGGGTTTAATTGTCCTCTGACTATTTCTTTAGTAACAGAGTATATATCAAGGTGTTTCCATGTTCTGCTGCTTTATGCCTCCAACTTACTTCATCAGAGGGACATATTCAGGCCTCCAACATGTCCTGGACATTTTAGAGACTAGTTTTCCACTCATGGAAAATTTTAAAGTAACCAGATAACCTGGAAATATTCTGTGTTTTCCTGGAAAAATGTCATTTTAGCTCCTAACTCAGGTCGCCTACTTAAACCTGTGTGCATATGTAGTTTGACATTAGAATAAGCTGTGCAGTTTGAGTCTTTAAAGGAAGTTTCTCAGACACAAAGCAAAACAAAAAATTGGTTAAACATTTTGTCCATTGGCCAGAGACTGCAGCAGAACAGCCAAGCATAAACACGGACCACCTACCTGTAATGAACCTGTATCATTAAAAAACAGGAATAAAACTGGAGTAAAATGTGTCCAAACGGGGACTCGCAGTACATTATAGGACCATTTGTGATGTCCTGGGTTCTCAATGAAAACTGGAAAATGACTTCTTAAAGAGTAGGAGCTCTTTATTGTACGTTTTACTCCACTACATGTATTTAATAACTTTTTTGCAGATTCAGTTTGTTGATACAACATACAGTCAACGAATAAATGATGGTGTTACCATAGATGGGGATAAAGATTAGGGATGCATTCAGGATTCAGCCGACACTATAACACCGAGAATATAACCCATAATTTCACACTTTTGTTTGATGAAAATAACCTGTAGTTTCAACACACTTGGTGGTAAGATAGATGTATTGACTATTCTAACCAAATCTAACTAACACTATGTTAACTATTGTATACAATCATATTAGAAAGGACTGTTTTTGTTCAGTCAGTCAGTCTTAAAGCCTGGTTTTGTATCTGATCCTCAGCCCAGTGTTGTGTCTGTTGAAAGTGAATATACTTTGGCGCATTTATTTAGACTGTAAGGCAGAATGTCACAGCTGTTTCTGACCACTATTACCTTCAGTAAGGTTTAGTGAAACATAAACAGGGCAACATCTGGAAATAAACATAGAACTGACAACTATTGGACTGAAATCTAACAATATATATTTTTTCTTTGAACTAATAGTGTGTGTTTTTTGTTTTTTGTCCCCTCAGAGCGTTTTTCTGGCTGGTGTCTCTGCTGCTGTCCTCTCTGGTGTGGTTCATCTCGGTTCAGATCAGTAATAAGGACAGCGCGGCGCAGCAGAAAGGTCTCCTCATCTTCGGCGTCGTGCTGTCCGTCCTGCTGCAGGAAACCTTCCGCTTCGCTTACTACAAGCTGCTCAAGTAAGTCGCTGCCACAGTGTTCACAGCCAGTCATTGTACAGAGACATTCTGTATATACAACATATCAACACACTTAACTGTTCTACACGAACAGGAAATAATGCAACGTGCAGTCAGAAGGCAGTCCAGTTGCGACTTAAGGTGGTCGCTACCAATTAGACTTCACAGGGAGACAACAGAAACGTTCTCTAAAGATTAAAAAACGTATTTATTTGTTTTCTAAGCTGCTTCTGCTCCATTTTCTTTTGTGTGTTGTATTGTGGGACACGAATGTCACTCAGAAATCAAGCAGAGTTAGTATGCAGTTTTTTTTTTTTGTGTTCTTAATTTAGTCACACACTACATAATCAGTTTGGAGTGAAGTTGTGGTCTGGAAGTGGGACACAGTTAATGTTATTGAACACCAGCAGCCACCACAGTCTGATAATCAGAGATCTGCAGTGGAATAAATGTGCTTCCTTTGACCACACAAAACAGACTGAC